CCCCACCAACGCCATCACCACCGGCACGGTGCCCACGGCACTCACCTGAGGGTACCGACGCCATGGGAGCAACTGGCGGCGGGGGGCCCCGATGCAGCACTTCACATACCCCAGGGGCAACACATCACATTCCATCCAATCGAATGTACTGGGCTTGGGAACGCTTTGGGCGTACATTCTACCTGCGTGACAGACAACAACGATTTGAAGGTGCACATGGATATGCCACGGGGGCGACCAGCGTGCACTGCCGAATCCATCAAAGACCCAGGCAATCGCACCCCACGTCCGCCATGCATACCCGTTGCACACTCAACCAGGCGTCTGGCCATCCGGTCCGGGAACGGGACCCGCTCTGCGGCTGTTATCCATCACCTTTGCCAAAGTACAGGCCTCTGGGATTGTCCGTCTTACAAAATTTCAACGGAACGGCATTGGAATTTTTGTACTGGTGTTCAGCGCGTTTCATAGGTCTGTGTTGCTCCGTAAACTTTGATGGAATTCTGTTGACTTCTGTGGTCTGGTCAGCGGTTCCGTTATGGGGGGCCTGTCCTCCGTTGACGCCCGCGAGGATTCCGTAACACGTGGTTCCATTCTGGAAGGTTGTGTGGATTTCTGTAGCTATCTATGCTGACGTCAGTATGGCCCCACCAGTTTCTGTTAGACAATTTTTCTCTCTGTGGCCCGCTCGCGGATTCCGTTGATTGTACGGAATTTTAACGGAGCCAACCAAATTCTGTTGTAGATGGACAGAAGGGGCCACCTCTAAACTCGGGCCGTTGGGTGGGGCACCCAACGTGGTGACCATTTCACCACAATGCCAAATTCACTTGCAATTCTAGGGACGATTCTAACAATCGAGGGGCCTTTGGCCGTCTCCCCTCCCCCTATTTTAGCCACATTACCTGCCCTCCCCGACCCCCCTTTTGTGACCGCCCAGCTTCGCAGTCGAATAGCCTACATCAACCTTAATTCATAAATCGACGGGCAGATCGCTAGCCCCCCGCAGCGATTCCAGTGAGCAAAGGGCCTATAGCCGTCTCCCCTCCCTCTTTCTCCACACATTCTGCCCTTCCCTCCCCCCTCCCCTCCCCTTTGTTGACCGTTCAGGTCTGGCCGCCCAGATCTTGTGCTTTTGTGCCACCTATCCGATGCCTCTCAATTGGCACTTTGCGCACCGATTTCACGCACCTGGTGAGGTTGCATCGCCTCAACGCACTTGCCTCCGCCTCCGCGTGCCTCCCGCGTCCGTCCTTGTGCTTGCCACCAGTGGTGGGCACCACCAGCGCCTCCCCACGAGGCGGCAGTGATGTGTGGTGGCGGGAAGGCCGGGAATTGTATGACGTACTTTGGAGCACCCATCATTAATGGGTAAATGCAGGACGGGTGCTTCCAACTACATCATACAATTCTGATTGGCCCACGTGTGACATTGATGGACAGGAACGGACTCTAGGACGGGCTGGAACGGAGGGAGGCACAACATGCAACAGTACAGGAACAGACTCCTGACGTGACTGTACTACGCCGGAACGGAAGTTGGACGGCTGCACACTGTTCCACATCCGTCCCGGGTCCGTTCCAGCCGAGGGACGGGCCGTTCCTCGGCCGTTCCTGGGCCTGCCGGCCCAAGGACGGGGACGGACTCCGGTCCGTCCCCGTCCCCGTTCCCGTCCCCGTTCCTGGACGGCCCACCTCTGCTTGGTGCTGATTGGTGCCATCCGTGATTGCCCTAATTGGCACCCGTTAGTGATATCAATCGGCCTTGACTTGGATGCCAAGCACTGCCACCTACTAGTCCTGAGGGGCAAGGGCAAGGCTTTGCACAGAATGCTCATTTTCAACATGGTCTCTATTAGTTCTAGACTCTGCGGCAATATGCGCGTTGAAAGAATGGACGCTGGCATTGGGCCCCCCTCCCTAACCTTCCATTCCGTTGACGGCAAGGAGCCCAAGTGGGCATTGCCAACTTTGCTGTGCATAGATGGAGATCCGCCATGAAATGCACACTTCCCTGGCCTCCTGGGGAGGTCTTGGGCCCAGGCACCATAGCGGACGCACTGGACTTACTGTCGGCCCATCCGTGACATGCCAAGGTTGCAGAAACCGATGGCCAACGTGCCATCCGTACACCGGACACCTCTCTTGGGTGTGTTTCGTTGTCCGCAATAGTAGCTTGATGTCCCACTACACAGCGAAGCTGCATAAAGTACTACAAAAATGGTGACAAGCCAGAAAAGGGGGCGCTATTGGGGCCGGGGGCGCTATTAGGGGGGCGCCATATGGGGACCCCTACTGTACTGCTATCGGCGCTGATCAATTAGATCACAGTACCGAAAAACCGAGGGTCCCTTGTTTACTCGTTTCACCATTGGCCTTGCTCCCCCAGAGTTGGCGGGGCTCCTTTCAGCGGGGATGGAGACCCCTCCTGTGTTTGCTGATGTCTCGGACACCCCCATGTTTCGGCAACGGGTAGGCAACTCGGACTCCGTGCGATCGGCTTTACTGCCTCCCCACGTGGCCATACCTGAGTGGAATTTTGTGCCGCGAGCGTGCAAAAATCGGGGCAGCGTCAATGGCCAAGCTCTAATTGTTGCAGTTTTGCGTGCTCTTGAAGCCTGGATTTGCTTGGGAGGACGGTACCTGCGCTTTCATTCTTGAAAAGCAGGAAGCAGCCCTGGTGCCGCTGGTTGCATGGGGATATTACGTGTGGGTCGTCGGGCTGGTTGCCCACGCGGCCAGTTTGCCGTGTGCGGGGTGGGCTTCACTTTTGAAGGCAGGAATGTCTTGCGATAACATTGGGTGATCAAATGTCCTCGGCTGGCGCTCTTGACGTCAACAGCCATTTGGGGGCGCAGGCTGCTGAGCTTCAGCACTCCGTGGACACCTTGAAGGAAGGGTGCGGCAAACTCGCCAAAGAGGCAATGAAATATTGCGAAGAGCTGGAGGGCTCAGCAAAAGTAAATGAGGGCTTCAGCAGGGCGCTGGTGGCGTTTTGCTCCGCTGGGAATGAAGATCAGGGAGAGTTGATAGGTGCGAAAATCTGAGAATACTGAAGTGAGGGGAACTGAGTTTCCAGCTTGGCTTTGTTGTGACCGTTGACGAGTTCATGGGCAGTGAGACAGTGCGTTTGGGGTCATGCATAGTGCCTACCTTGCCACTGTTGTTCCAGAGAGTGACAGCTTTGGCTGTGTGGTGCACAGGCCAGAACGAGTTCAGCAAGTTCAGTTTGGTCTTTAGTGAGCTTGCAGATTTGACGAGGGCATTGCAGGGTGAGGTACGTTCTCCTCACTGTCAGTATTGCCACTCTGTGCTGGTTTTTGCACTTTGTTATATCCTTGTCTGAGCAGGGAGTCCTGGCGCCAATGACAGAACTACGCAAGCAGCCTTCCAACAGGCAAAGAATTTTTCCTTCTGGTAAATTTGTGCTGAAACCTGGATTTTCTGACCGTTTGCTGCATTTACATATGTTCCATATCCAAGCATGAGTGCTGAAGTTGGAAGATGGGCACAGTATTCGTGCTGCAATCTGGTTTGAAAAGCTGTGATTCTTGTGCTTTGCAGCAGTTCAAACACACAGCTGGCCATGCTGCATTCCCAATGGTTCAGGCACATACGTGCCAAACTGCACCACACACATTGTGACTATACTGGCGGGAGTGAAGCATGGCCAGTGCATGTTCAACTGCTGCACAACAATGCAGAAGAATAACTATTTCCAATACCGGCTTGTGTGAGCATGGCCATGTTGTGTGCATGTTTCCTTAGTTTTGTCACGACTTGGCCGCAGTACCTGATGCAGTCTGTGCTATTGGGTACTTGGACATGTTTTCTTATTGAGAGGTAAGGCCACACCTCGCATAAATTGAATTGCTCATATGAACACACCTGTGAGAAGACAGATATTGGAGGCAAGTTTGACACTTTATCTTCTTGGAACACAGATGGTTGATGCTCTGGTTGAGCCACTGAGAAATGAGTGGGTAGGCCAACTTTGCACCGATGTCTGTGAAGAGAAAAAGCAGCTTGACAAGAAGACAACTGCGTACGACCTTGCCAAGACAAAATACCTTGGACTGCGAAAAGTCACGAAAAAGGATGTTGTTAAGAGGACAGAGGAGGAGCTCAGCAGGGCGAAAGGGGAGGCTGATGAGGCCAGGTATTGCATGGCGCGCAAACTGACAGAGGTAAATGGAAGGAAGACTGTGGAATACTCCCTGCTGTAAATTGCTTGGTTGTGTAAGGAAAAGGAATTGATCGCTATATCTGTCCATCTGTCTGCTATCGCAAATGAGTGAGTGACAATCTTCAGTGCCAATCCAGGAGCTGTCAGAATATGTGGATTATTGATTATCATTTATTAAAGAACCAGTCATTGCAGTGTTTTCTGCTTTGTTGAAGGTTGAGCTCCGGAAAAGCCATGAATTCTTGGGCATGATGGCTACTTGCATGGAAAGTCAACTCCAGTTCTTTGAGAAAGGATACACCCTACTAAAGGAAATGCAGCCCCTCATTTGGACAAGCAAGGAGATGGTCAACAACAGGCAAAAGAAGATGACTGCAAGCACGGTAACTTGTGGCAGCCAACACCCTGCATGGGCAGTATGGTATCTTGCGAACATTCAAGTGTTGGAAAAGCAAGTGGGGCAGGCAAGGGAGGGTGGAGGGCGTTGTGACTACTTTTGTAGGCTGTGCACTGGTTGGATGGCTGTACATCTTTCCAAAAATGCTGAATGACTCATTTGATATCCTGGTTGTGTTTTACTGACTTCCATGAATGCTGGCAGGAATTGCTGGAGAGAAGGATAACTGCCCATCAAGAGCAGGAACGTAACCGTGCAGAAGTGGTTGCTGATTCTGTGGAGATGTCTGAGCCCTCCACTGCTGGGCCACTTCAGATGTCGGCTGACATGATGGGCATGGTGACAGAGGTGGAGATGTTTGTCCGTGCTTCTCTTGGCTCCCAAGGAAAGCAGATCACCGCCATAAAGCAGGGCTACTTGTCAAAGCGCTCTTCAAACATGTAAGAGTGTTCAAGTTGGACCTGAGCCTTGTGCTGAGAGTGCCCAGGCTCGCTTTGCTCCATGTCCAGGGTTGTAGCCCTGGGACTGGTCACCAAAATGACTGTTCATGTTCCTGACACAACCCAGGTTGTTGTGGATTCTATTTTGAAGTTCTGCTTTGTTGTACGCTGCTTCAGGCGTGGTGACTGGAAGAAGAGATTCTTTGTCCTTGACAGTATGGGCATTCTGTACTACTACACCAGCAAGGTTAGTAGTAGTGGTTGCTGACTGTGTCTGGTTTTCCTGGCTTTTCTATAGGATAAGGCCGTTTGTTCTGTTACCTTGCCTGGACTGCACGGACAATATGTTCAATGAGGTTATTAGATTTAGAGTATTTGTTTCCAATGCGATTAAGATAAAGGCAAGATGCTGTGAGTGTGTGGAGCAGTCGATGCCTTTGTGTAGCTGCGCAGCTACTGTATGAAGGCCACTTGTGCCATGTGCTTCACATCGTGCGGGTGGAATACCCCCCCACCTGCTCTGCATCCATTCATTGTCCAGCGGCTCCATTGCTATGCCATGAGTATTGGTGAAAAGGCGGGCAACATCGCAGTTCAATTGTGTGTATCATATTGTTGATGTTGCAAGTTTGGACTTGAAGAGTGGAGCTGTTAAAAGTTGAGGTTGCCATGAATGAGACCCTGCTGATAGGGGTACACCCAGCTGTTTCGTTCTTGTTAACCTGACAAATTGCTGCTTTTGCAGAGTACGCTGTTATCTTTGACTAAGCGTGAAATGACAAAGAAAGGCGCCTGCCTGGTTACATCCTCTGTGAAGCCGTATGAGGAAGAGGATCTTCGATTCTGCTTCAGTGTGGTGTCTCCAGAGAGGTCATTGCATTTGCAAGCAGAAAGTGAATTGGAAAAGCAGGAGTGGATTGTTGCCATTCAGGTAGGCTAGAGTACGTCACAGCTTATAGGTTATTGGCGTGCAGGTTTCTGGGCATAGATTGGCAATTGTAAGTGCCAAAGCAGCAGATGGCCAAAGGGGAGGCGTCTGAGTGGTTGTGCCTGGGCCGGGTCCATTGAAGACTCACAAGCTTGCCCCTTGCCCTTGAACAAGGGCATCCAATATCATTCTGATGCATGTCTGCCAGTTTAGTTCAACTCATTTAATCTTCATGGTGGCACAGCCTTTGGCACGAGCCTTTGTCCTGCACTGCAGCACTGTCGGAATAGTTTGTAAATTATTCGTGAGCCAACAAGTTCAATCATCTCAAAGCAATGGCAGACTCTATCCTGCACAGACTGTTGAAGGAATGCTTGAAAGCATTTTGAATGAGTCCATATCGGGCTCGAAAAATGACGTGACTACTTCAATGATGTAATCGATTGTTCTAAGATGAAGTACGGATGTCAGCCTACCCAACAGTATCACAAGCATTTATAGCATTGTTGGTTTGCTGATGAGTACAGCTGCTGCTCTGCCTTGATCTGGGTGGCTGTCTCTTGTGTGCCAGAGCGTTATTGCTTGCTACCTTCAGAACAGCCCTTTGGATGGAAAGGCTTTCTCAGACAGTGACATAATGCTCCCCACGCACACTCGTGACTCAGTGGCCCCAGAAGAAAAGGCAGGCCTGGCTGCAGCAGCAAAGAGCTTTACAGAACATGGCCCTATGTCGCCGCAGTCCTCAGAATTTGTGGGATCATTTGCTGGCGATGGTGGCGGTGTGGGACCGGCCCATACTTCCACAGGGCATGACCCAAGGGCCTCTGTGTCTCTTGATGGCGGTGAGCCACCATTTGAAATTTTGCGGCATGTGCCAGGCAACAAGGTGGGAAATGGTACACAGTTGATACTGTTCTGCCAGACCACAAGTTTGCTGATGCAAACTTCTGCACCCAGTGATAGTGCTGCTGCATTTGTAGGCATGTTTGCCTCTGCCCTGGTGTTGTTGAAGCATTGCAATGCTGGTTGCAAAGCGCACCAGCCAACCATGGGAGATCAAAAGCACAGTCCACCATCCACTGATGGTCGATCATGGACAGGTGTGCATTTTGTCACTGCCCTTAACAGTGTGCAGACTCCATCCAGAGGTGCAGAAGTCCAGCGTTTGCCAGTAGCCGTTTGCTACAAACAGATGTGTTGACAACACTGTCAGTTGCGGCAAAGAGAGATAGATCTTAATTTTTTGCACACCAGTTGGAAGGAGCAGATGGTGCAGGTGCACCCAGAAAATGTCTGCAACTGTTGCTACCATGCCAGCAATGCTGGGTGAGCAGACAGAAGTTGCCTGTCAGTCTTGTGCATTGTTTTGGATTTCTCCAACAAGGCACCCTGTTGAGCTGCAGAATGGACTTTCTTGGCTGCCATGGGCATTGCAGTGTTCGTCCCCAGGTTGCTCAAGCACTTTTCTTTGTATACTTTCCCTGCAATTGCACCTGCTGAATATATCAGTTTCCTGAAATTGCTGGAGAAGCGATGAGCTGTTGGCCTCTTGTACCAGCAAGGGTGGATGTTGCTAGCCATTTTAGTCCCACTGTAGACTTGCCACCGTACCTGCAATCTGAATCATGGTGCTACGCTTGCAATGTGTATTGTGTATTGCGGTGTACACATGCAATGGAGACTTAGTTGCAGACGTATTTTCTTGAGAAAAACTGACTTTAAGTTCTGAGTTTGTTGGGCGCTGGATGTTGCCAGATTTGTGCTGATTGTGGAGCTGCTGACCCTGAGTGGGCATCACTGAACCTGGGTGTACTGATGTGCATCGAGTGCTCTGGGATCCATCGACAGCTGGGGGTGCATATTTCCAAGGTCAGCTTTTCCGAAGATGACACCCTTGAATGAGTTCCCATCTTTTAGCGAAACCAGTTGTCACGGTGATTGTAGTCAAATTTTAACCACTGGTGCATTAATATTGTCATTGCAAGGTTGGAAGCAGTCACGAAAATGATTCATCATTGCTGGTGCTTGCGTTGTCCTCCCTTGATGAGCTGCCACATATTTTATTTCACATTGACTCAGGTTCGCAGCTTGAAGCTTGATGTGAAGGTGTGGACGGATTCGCTCATTCAGCTTTTCCAGCAGCTGGGAAACGAGTTTGTTAACAGTGTCTGGGAATCGAGAAACAGTGTCGACCACACAGAGTCATGGGTTTGGTGTGAGGATTCAGACGATGAGGGAGAGGGGCACCACAGCTATCCTGCTGGACCACTGCCTCTGCCTAACCCTGGCACACCTGGGGCACAATTTTTCGATGCGAATGAAGGTTGCTTCAAGCCAACAAGCTCAAGCAGCAAAGAGGAGAAAAAGCGTTATGTTGTGGAGAAATATGTGAAGCAGCGCTATGTTGAAAAAATCAATCACCATTCTGCAGACCACATGTTGTGGCAAGGAGTTGCAAAGATTGATGTCAGGTGCGTGCATGCGCAGTTCCTATGTGTAGCACTGTATTGCCTGGGTGTCACTTTGAAGCAGACTTTGGTTCAGTTGTCCAGCAATGGACCCTCAAGTATTGTCTTGATGTTCAGAAGCAGGGAACAGTTGCAGGAGGAAATTGATGCATAGCCACCAACAGAGGTCGATGACCCACAGAGTGCAGTGCTGTGGTCTGTGTGTCGAATGTGGGCGACTATGTGCATGGTGAGTGTGCCCTGGTAATAGTCATCTCCTTGACCTTGGGCATGTTTGTTGCAGGACTGCATATCGAGCACTGATGGGTGGGGCCCATGTAAATTCCCCCAACACAACCGATGACGGGTTCAAACTTGTGGGTGACATGGAGCACAAAATGGCGAAGGCAATGAACAGGGAATTAATGCTTCCTGACGCTGCTTATTCAGGTACAACAGGGGCTTCGCTGTGTTGGTTTTTATATGTTGTCATCAGGTGCATTTTTGGGGTTATTGTTCTATTCGTATGGCAGCCCAGAGAAAGCGATCATTGCATTGCCTGGTTGGCAAAGTCAGAATCCTCGTGACCGCCGAATTGGCAAGTGATTCAAGGAATCACCTTTGATCAAAGGCTTCCTTCATGACACTTGATGCCTTAGTGCAATATGAGCCAGTTGTACAGGTTGTACAAATGAAAAAGCTGCCTGTGCTTGATTGCTGAGTCGACATTGCGAAATATTGTAGGTCAATGGCGACCGTGGGTAACGAAAGTGGTGTGTTTGCCTGAGAGTCGCCACCTTACATAAAGTTTGAGCTGTTTGCGATTGCAGAACCGCTGGAAATGGCTGCTGCTGGTGCTGGTGTTATTCTACTTGCCTGCAAGGTCGGATCGGTACCAATCTTGGAGCTGTTGCTACTGAATGGAGCAGATCCAGAATTTGAGGATGCCTACAATCGACGAGGCTTGCATTATTGCCTAATGTACAACTGCAAGGACGCTGCAAGGTTGCTCCTTGAGAAAGGAGCACAGAGAGATGCGACAGACTGCCTTGGGACAAGTCCTATGGATATTGCCCACCATCTCGGAGACGGAGAGGGTATTGAGTTGCTGGGGATGCATCTGAGGGGACAGGTATGCAGCACCGTTAGCCTTGTACGCAATGTGCTCGTGCAGCCATCATTTTTGTGGCGATGACCAATTGAGTGTTCCCACCTTGACCTTTGCTGTATGGTGTGGCAGCTAGGGAGATGTGTGTTTGTGTGCCCAGACACGTATATCAAGTGAACTTCCTTGATTATATGTACTGTGATGGAGGGATCATCTGTCAATAGCTGCACACCTCATTCTGATTTGTGTTTTCTATGCAGAGAGTATAGAGAATAGGAAGCAAATGAAACAGGGATTTCGAGGGCCGGGAACAGCTGAATAAAGCGTCTTCGGCGGACAGGACCTGCTTGCCATGGGACCTCTGTACAGATGTGGATTACGTGTGTTAGCAGACGTCAGATCCTCATGCCAGGCACTGCTGGGCTAGTGCTGTGCAATTTTCGATTTCAGCCAGCCACGATTCCTTGGTGCCACCAAGGCTGACCAGTCGCCGTGGTTTCGGCTGCCCTTCTCTGCACGGCATAATTGTGATTGGTTTAGAACAACACTGTGAATGGGCTGCTCAAAGAGCAGAATGGGACGGTGTCATTGTTTCAATGATTGACATGTGGAAATGTAGAAGCGTAGCTGCATGCGCCAGACCTCGAGTGCAGTGATGCCGATCTGGACCAATCTATCAGTGGTTGTTCCATTGTGGGCGAATTGTGCTTGGCCTGTCAGTCTGACAGTGTCACACCAGGACACCCACAGGACCAGGCTGTCGCAATGAGAGTTCTTTTGAAGCATTCTGCTGCAACAACATGTGGCATAGCGTGGTTTTGTTCAACCCTTCCATGCAGTGACGTAACGCTTGGCCTTTTTTTCCGGAGCAGTATTGTGGAGCCACATTGCGGCAAAAAGTAAATAACGCTCTGAAAAAAATGGTGAGCAAAAATTCGTAACATGCATAACGGTAGTTTCTTTTGATGCGGAAGGGTTGAATATTATACTGTACATTGTTGTGCATGATGCGGCCATTCACCGCTTGGCAACCCGTGTCTGATGGCAATCAAGTATGACAAACGGTTGTCTCGAGTTGCATCAATCCGAAACGAAGGGCAAATGCAAATCCAAGCGCAAAAAACGGAACTGCCCAATACAAAAAGCGTACCAGGCATGACCACAACTGCAACAGTATCCCAATTGCACAGGCCCCGGTAATCCTAAATGCTGAAATACTTTGCCTGGCGTGAACAGTGGCGCTACATAAATGGAAGACGGCATCCGTCTTACTTTTCATGGATTTTTTGGTGAACGCAACCAACCCAAGATTTACGGAAGCCCACGCAGTGTTGATTGGGGAAAGGACAATAGCGAATTCTTGGGCACATTAAGGGCTCATCAATGATAAGCATCAACAAGTGATTCTCTGCATTAGTGTTAACACTGATGCGCACGTACTGTGAGCAAACAATTGGTGTCTGAGGACGACGTGAACAGCGGCATTCCATTCAAGGTACCCACACACTTATAGTCGACCTCAAAAACATTGTGTTGTATCTTGATGAGCACCACCCGCCTCTTAGTATGATCGATAAGGGGCGCGGAAAGAAGACAGATATAATATGGCATCAACGGTCAAGGGGGATCAAGTTGGAAAGGAAGAAAACAATGGTGGCCTTGAGACTGTTGCCAGAGAGTGTGCTTCTCGCACAAATTTCAATCTATGTTCCCCAAATGTCAAATCCATTCCCACAGCTAATTTCCCGTCACACAAACTACCAGCAGCCCTAGCTATGAATCCCAGCAGGGAGCCCTGATAAATGCCTTCGAAGTCGTAGATCACTAGCATGGTACTTCCCATAGGGCTACACTTAGTCTCATAATGTCATCTCACACCACAACAGATTGTGCAATCTGTTCCCCAAGCATTAATCTCCTACCACAATGTATTGCCCGTCCCCACGACGATCCCATTTCTGGCACGAAGAATCGGTGGAGCCTCCGATCCAACAGTTGAGAGTCATTCCCAAAGTGGGCGACACTAATGACTAATATAACAACAAGAGCAACCCCTGTCATGCGCTCTGACCTGCCACATCAGGCTCCTCACATCTATTCCCAGCAGTATGGGAACGATTCCTTGGTCGTGTTGCTCCATTCTTCATGTGCAGAGAGAACTGGCTCAACGTGTAGCTCAGATTTCTGTCCTTGAACCTCTTCCCGGACACCGTTCCATCATCGGTAGTGTCCCAGAATCATGGTTCGTCATCAGATGCTTTTTCATCATCACAATCCATTATGGGGGGGGTGTTCATGAGGGTGGGTGAGGTAGAGCGACAGCGGATGGTGTACGCCTGAACAAACATCATTGATCTATGTCGTAGAGTTATGGAAAGCGCTGTGTTGGACTTGGTGCGCTGTAATCATTTTAATGGTAAGGTGTGAGCGGTCCATACCTACGACGCAAAGTTTTGCGTCGCAAACAGCTTATGGAAGAACACAATGCCGATTTTGTTATGCTTAGGTCAATTGGTCGCTGGGTGGGTGAGTGGGTGGGGGGGCGACTTGTGACGCTAAGAGATTATGTATTTGCAACAAAATAGGCATAAGGCGGAAAGACGACTGAATGCGCTGCTAATCAACAGCAAAACACTCGTGATTTGTTCCTAAAACTCCCTGAAATGTTCCGTCTTCAAGGAATTGCTTAGAATGTGTCAATTTATAGCCATTGAGGTGGCCCGTCTTGCCTATAATGACATTTACAATCCCATTTTTCATCCCGCCAAAATTTGTACGACTCTGAGTGTTTTTTAATCTCAAAACCAGCTACAAATTGTATTCCACTCTTAGGTAATGTTGCTGAACCATCCTAGCTTCGACATAAGGATTGACGCCAAGGACACGAGGGGGCGGGGGGGGGGGGGGCTCTGCTTAACGTCCAATTGACGCTAAGCGCAACAAAATCGACATAGCGCCTTCCCTTACACGACCGCAGCAAAATAGGCGAGAGCCGAAACATGCCGAACATGCCCTATTTGGTAGCCTCCGGGGCTGCAACCAGTACTTGTCACGGCTTCCAAAATACCATTTTCCAAACCTCCACAATCGCTGCAGCCACGGTTGTTTACCTTCCCTGAAGACATGCTGGCGCTGCATCCCTCAAAAAAGTATAAAGTTGCAGAGTCGTCCTGGTATCGACATCGACATAAGGACAGCCGTGGAGGTGTGTGTGTGTGGCTGCATGCGTGCGTGGCTGGGGTGCCTGAGCTTGGAGTCAAAATCACGCCACCAAAATGCCTCCTCTTTATGAACATGTAGGGCCCCGCTTGAAGATGATCATGCAGCCGTACTCGCATTGTTGCCATGGTCGAGTCGGCTTACGATCCAGCCAACGTGAATGCTCCAATTAATCACAGTGGGGTTAACTACATAGCAACCCCCAGTGACATGGCCAAAAGCAAGGCGCTATTGTGGTCCGGGCGCTAATAGTTGTCCTAATTTAGTGCAGTTAATCGTATATTAAGCCACCAAGGGGGACTTCTCCCTCGCTAAGCAGTGGACAACCCATTGGCAGTGATATGGGTTGGCCAAAAAATGTCATTGCCGCCCATCTCACTTGTGCCTTTATGCAACATCACTGGTGTACCGTGTTGCAGGTTTGCGCTGTATTCTTGATTCTGTCACCATCGGGTTCCAATTTTAACACGAGGCAATGTATGATGGTGTAACTCAAATTCCCAAGTTATGCAACGAATCTTGCCATGTACTGCAAAATTGAAATGTCACTGCACAGTGCACGAAGAGAATGATTGTGTAGCACCACCGCTGATCGTGAACACAACACCTCATATAACGTTCAAGTATTCACCCCAATTCTGTGCACGACCAACGAACGTTGCAGTTCGACTAGACACTTTTTTGGGGTGCGTTGATTGTCCAATACATTGGGTTGAGGTCCCACAACAGAGTTGCACAAAATGTTATACAGAAACCGTACTCAGCCAAGAAACGGTGCGCTATTGGGGTCCTGGCGCTATTGAGAGGGTGCTATGTTGGTATCCCCAATGTGCTGTCGGTGGGCTAAACGGGAAGGGTAGTTGAATTTGGCCACATTGCCGCGGAAATTCTGCGTGTACACGCCGCATCCCTGTTGGGGCCTTACAGTTGACTGTGCAACCGTCCCACACCCAGGCACAGGCCTGTGTAAACTAGGCGACACGTAAAGGGCACACGGGGTTGTGTGAGGAGAGACAACAGCGCACCCATCCTCACGGAAGGTCCAGAGTGTGGATAGACTCACTGGAGGTGGGCGAAACACCCAACAGCGGAGGCGCCACGTGGTAGCAAGGGGTCGAGATGAGTGCCCAGGCGGACGTGGTAGGTCCAAGAGCGCGTCCTAGTTCTCTCGGCCTGATGGCGCGCCGCGCAGATGCTGTCGTTGGTTGGTGCGTTTCAGGGGCTTGAGCTGCTGATGACATTCAGCCGAGGTCGCGGTACCCTGGGAATGCATTATCCCTGGTTGGGGCGCCTGCATTCACAGTGTCCAAGGTTAGGTTTCCGTTGATCACACGGGAGGCCTGTGTTTGCCGGTGGGTCCAACAATGGAGCACAGCTGATATCGAGCGCTAATGCTGTCCGCACACCACTTGTCGAATTCGCCACGCTCAGGTTGCTGATGTGAGGTGCACTGTTTGTGGAATGGAGTCGCCCGCTTGCCCATGGACCAGACAGTGCCAACGCTTTTGCCTCCCATGTTGTCCCTTGGATGCATTTTGGTCCTGTTGTTGTCGGCCCATCGGACTGTCGCCGGGGTGGCTATCTCAACTTGCTTGGGTGCCGCACTCATTGTCGGTCTCACTCTTTGCGACTCCAGTGTATGTGGGCTCCCAATCTCAATGATCTTCTCCGGCCTGTTCTGTTGTTTGGCGGCTTTCCTGGGAACTGTAAATGCATGTGCTTGATTGGAACTTTGATTAAGGTGGTTATCCCCAAGCCCAGGTCTTCTCAGTGCTGCTGCGACAAAATCTGTCAATAGTGCCTATTGCTAGGTGTACTTGGCTTGACCTGAGTCTTTAGTTTTCTTGTGCAGGTGGGTGGGCCTGCTGCGGGCTCTGCTCACCGTCTGGAGGAATACTACACAGCTGTTGTCAAGGTACTTTGCTTGTGGAGGCGTGGCTTGCTTGTTTGATATTGTGGTGATGATAATGTTGACAAAATTGCATGGCACTCTGAAATTATTTTTTGTAAATGGCCTTTGTTTTGCCAGCTCTGAGCTGCAGCCAGTAGACTCTGGTGCAGGTTCTTGTAGGTTGTCAATTTGATGGCCAGTGCATCACAGTGTGCGTTTTCTGGCAGGGAACTCATCTGATGAAGTTTGGAAGGCATGGGGCGCCGAAGCAGCATTTTTTCAGGCTAGCAGCAGATCGCCATTACCTGGAGTGGGAGTCTAGGGTATGTCTGTGGCTGGCCCACCTCAGTGTGGTGGCTTCAGCATTGATTGCACTGTTGTGCCAAGTTTTGGATAGATGACAGAAACATCGTTGGTGCACAACCACTGCCCAGTGTTCGGCAGTCCGGCATGAGTTGGATAATAATGGGAATGGTGGGCCGTCTGTCTGCAGGGTTCCAAGAAGCGGGTGAATCTATTAGTTGTCCATCGTGTGCTGCGTGGCCAGTTCACCCCTGTGTTCTTGAAAAACAACAGAAATGCACAAGCCAAGGCTTCACCAGAGCTGTGCTTTTCTCTCCTCTATCGCCAGAGGTAGGCATCTCAGTTCTTGAGCAACCCTGTTTTGTGAGAGTAGCTCCAACTGCTGCACGTGTTGCCCACTTGTCTGGGCCCTGGTTGTAGGCTGGTCATTCTGAACAATCACTGGTGGCATTGCTTTGTTGTGGAAGGGGAGAAGATCGCAGCTTGGATCTTGTGTGCAAAGATGCAGATGAATTTGGCCTGTGGTTTAATGGGATCAAACTGATCATTGAGGACCTGAAGAGCAAGAAGGCCCTGCCTCCAGGTGAAAGCCATGTTGGTCCCAAGTTGAAGAGAACTTGCACGAACTTGGCATCTTCTTGGAAACTACATTCTTGCACGTGCTTTGCAGAATTTCACAAAGATGCACGTGTGCACTCACTGGGCCAGTGTGAAATTCATTCAAGGGCATGGCAAAAGAAGGGCAACAATGAGGTCTGTGGTGGGAAAGAGCCATACGTTCAGTTTGGGACTGGTGGCCAATGGCATTTTCCTGTAGCATAGTTCGTTGTGTGAAGTATGCTTCTGTGGTATATCCAGCAATGACCTGCCGGCCCTGCTGATGTTTGTATGCTGACACCTGCTTTGGAACAACATGACAGGCGTACCTCCAGATGATGGTGTCGTGGTGGGCATTCCACAAGGCGCCCTTGGATTTCCCCCAAAGGATGCTCCCCCTGGCGATTGCTACATGTGGGGGGGGCCACCGGCAGGAGAGGAGCAAGAGGTAGCTGCAGAGGAGAATCTTCAACTTGTGGTGGTGGATAATGCGCACCTCCACTTGAATTGTGCTGCCGTATTGCCAACCTCGATTGCCTTGCTGAACTAAAAATTAATCTAGTTGACTGCTTGCCCTATGACTTGACTGCTTCCCCTATGGTCAAGCCCTTAACATGAGATGGTCGTCTCCTGTTCCTGTTCAGGCAAGGGCTGTGCTTGGCGACAACACACCCCTCAATCTCGTGCTGCCACGACTGGTCCCCTCTGCTGAAAGGCTGGATATTGAAAAGGCTTCGTGTGGCCCTCATCACTTTGCCTGCATCACAAGGAATGGGCATTTGTACACGTGGGGAAATGGCTCATGTGAGTTGGCTTGGGAAGCAAGAACGATGCTTGTGCTGTCAGGACTGTGTTTTCCTGACTTCTGATCTGAAGAGCTTCAGTTTTGCGGCTGTGGCAACAATGTCACTCAACTGGGCTGTCGATCGTTGTCACCAATTATGGCACCTATATCTGGATGAACATCTGAATACGTTTGTGACTTAACTGTGTATGCAGGTGGCCGTCTGGGACTTGGCAGTGTCCAGCATGTGAACACTCCTGCAACTGTGTATGGCCTTTGTGACATGGCCAGTGTAGGATATATGTCCTGTGGTGAAACCAGCACAGCTGCGATTCTCAAAGACGGCTCATTGTTTACTTGGGGAGGGGGCCTGTCAGGGCAGCTGGGCCATGACAACATAACGACACAATATCTGCCAAGAAGGGTGGAGAGGGGGCTTTACGGTGTACATATTGTTCAGGTGCGGAATGCAGCTGGCTGCAAAAGTAGAGGGTTATGTGAGGACACCTGTGGTATCTGCTTGAGAGTTGTAGCTGCCTGTAGCCCATGGCTGAAGGCCCATCTGATTGACAGAGGTTATCCTCTTGTGGCGCCCATCTGTGTCGTGAATGTCCTTGTTGCACTTCTCTACGATGCCAATTTTCCTGGCAGTGTTCATCAGTTTTAACATTTATGATGTATAGTTGGCACAAAGCAACAGAACAGAGAATGGTGACACCGATTTTGCACTGATATCAACAGCAGCTGTGCTCCTGCGTTGAGATCAGAGTAGTGGTTCGCTCTCGTTTGGCACTGAATGTTATTCCCTTGACCACAGGTGTCTTGTGGACCATATCACACTGCGGCCGTGTCCAACCTGGGCATCCTGTACACTTGGGGTGATGGACTTTGTGGCAAGCTTGGCCATGGAGACCAAGAATCCAAGCACACCCCACAGCCTGTGGAGGCATTGTATGTAGGAGAGGTCCAGTGGGTTTGCTGTGGCTGGTGGCACACCGCAGCTGTTGTGATGGCAAACGAGCACCGGGGTAATGACTGTGAGAATGATTTTCAGAGGTTTTGCACCAAGATTGTATGTCATTGTAGTCTGTGTGACAGTGCTCGAATTCGTGCTTTGGCCCTGCTTATGTTGCCCAGCAGTTAAGTTCATAGCATTTGTCTGTGTGCATTTGCAGGAGGCTCTCTCTACACTTGGGGTGGTGATTTTACCTGGGGAAAAGATCACAACAGGGGTTGTTTGGGGAATGGAAGCACAAATGGGTCATCAACACCCCAAAGGGTTGAAGGGGATCTGGATGAGCTGGATGTCAAGCATGTGGCTTGCGGTCTCAACTTGACAGTGGCTCAGACATCTGATGGCCTCGTCTTTCAAATGGGCGCGACTGGTGCTGGTGACACCTTTGTGAAGTGGGAAGGTGCAAAACTCCCAGAAGAGGTGAAAGGAGGTCTGTCTGGGTACAAGGCTGAGGAAATTGCCTGTGGCCGCAAGCATGTGTGCGTTGTTGCCACCCCTGTAACAGCAAGCGGCAGAGCAGATGAAGCCAGGCGCAGAACAGTACTGTTTGCTTGGGGGAAGGGGGACAAGGGCCAGTTAGGCCTTGGATACACTAAAGACCACACATCACCACAGGTTGTGGAGGCCCTCACAGCAAGGAGAATCCAACAGGTAGCTCACGCATCCAAAGACTCTCCTGTGGTAGCAGCTGTTTCATATCAATTGATGCTTGGCAGGTGCCAAATCTGTGCTTCGCTTCCTGTGTTGGCAAGGGTGCATCTTGCCAACCCAGTTTTTGTGCTGGTGCCTGCACACAGCGGATTTACAATTTGCATTTCCGCACTTGGGTTTGCATACTGATTGCTGATTAGTGATCATACAATGTGCTTGTTAGTCAACAAAGCTGCCATGTTATATCTTGCTCCACATAACTCAAGGTCACATTGTGTTGTACAGGTTTGCTGTGGGGGTGATTTCACTCTTGCTGTGTGCCGTTATGATGCCCGCATGGCTGCTGCAGCCTCTATTATGGTAGCCGACCCATTGCCGGCAACACCACAAGGATTATCTGCTCGGAAGCCTGGGAATCAGCAACAGCCATTTGGATTCAAGCCAGCGTTTTCTGCATCAAAGCGAGACAGGACTGGGTCGGCAGAGAGCAATTCAATGGATCCTAAACTTAAGAGGCCATCCGATCCTGTGAAGAGACAGGTGTGTGGGTGGGTGGGTGGGGCTATGTGTGTATATGTGTGTCAAGATGTATTAAAGTCCCCGAAACACAGGTTATACAGTGGAGCACCCCTTCCTAAGCAACTATACAGCAGGTCCTGTTCTGCTTTGCAGCACTGTAGGTGCCACAGTCGACAAAAATGGTATTAAAAGCATGTCGCATGCAGCAAAGCAACAAACACGTACTCCAGGGGTGTCCATGAGAACAAACTCAACACTGTTTGTTCACCGTAGCAGGATAAAACGGAAGATATCGTTTGCCAACAATCAAAACAGGATAAAACTGTCTCAGCTCGTAATTGTGGGTACCGCAGCAGTACAAGATCAAGGCATGTCATCTATCGACAAGAAAACATGAACAGTACTGGCCCCAAAGCAGAGAATGCATCGTCAAGGAAATGAAACAACAGTGCAACAACAAAGTGGGGCACCATCAAAAACGAACTAGCAGAGGAAACGAACACCAGCATAAAATGCCAAGACCCACCCCAAGGAAACTGTCCTGAAAACTAGAACCTGGGAGAGGCGATGACAACAGATCCACGCCAATGTCCAGCCGTACAGTGCTGGATGGGCAACGACTAATCCTCGGTACTTTGTGCCTTTGTGCAAGACAGCCTGTTCATTTCTGCCTGATGAAGCAATGATGGCAGTGGGCACTCAGTAGAAGCACCGCTCATACAACAGCATGTTCAAGGGTGCTTCTTACTTTGAGGGCCTTCCACATGTGTGTGACACCGCAGGGTAAACAGGTGGTCAGAGCGACGAGCTCCCGATCGAAGAGCTCTGCCTATAGCTCTGCTCCGTTCTATGAGTTTTGCCCAACACAAGCAGGACCATCGCCTTCCCCTTCACCAGATCCACACGGTGGAGAACCTGGATTTGATGATGGTAGCATTGGTACAGATGTGAGTGTGACTGGTGCTGTGAGCCCACGCCAAGTGACAGCAGCTGAAGTGATCACACCAAGGCACCACTCCACATTGAGTGCAGATTGTGCATTCCCAGAGTATGCGGAACCCAATCCAACTCATTTTTTTGATTCAACCCCTGCAGGGGGAGACTGGAGGTTGTTGCCTCAGGTATGGTTTTTGTGCCGAAGGTGCAAGTGCTTTGCCAAGTGCCGTAAGCACCCCTTTCAGGATACCAATATCACTAATTGTTGGCAATCACGTTGGGGTGGTACTCATGGGGTGCTATTTATCTGCTCTGATGGACTGTTAGTGAGTGAATAACTATTTTGCTTGCCTATATCATTCATGGAGCTGTATTGAACTTGTCCAAGATTTTTTCTGTTTTGCTGGACAGAGTGCTAGTGGTGTTCACAATGAGCTTCTCGACAGTGGTGCAAACGCTGCCAGCACTATATATTCAGATGAAAGTCCAAGGGAACGGGGAAGGAGAGGAGAGCGGGGAAGCTTCAGCGAGAACTCGACGGCAGAGACGTTGGGAACTAGCGATGGCAGGCCACCAAGAGATCCCATCTCAGACAACGAAATGGAGCCTGCTGAATGCAGGTGAGGAATCAGTTGCAGTAATGCTTGTCAACTAGCTGAGCAAGAAGGCTGCCACTGTCATAATCCAGCCTGCGACTGCTTGAGTAAGCACTGATTACTTCCTCCGTCCGGAATTAATTGTCCTCTGTGACTTTGGTGTCTTACTTCCCCATCACAGACACTTTATTTTTCATTCAAATATATTGCAAAGCTGCATCTATCTTTTAAGAGTATGCAGTCAAAATTTCAAGTCAATCTGTTGAGTATTGCGGATTCGGCAGCACTTTGTAGCAAGGGTCATCCAACCAAAAACCCACCAGTTTTTCAACATCCCTGTTGGAGTAGCCATTTTCGCTGTTTTGAGGAGCACGCTTTTGCGGCAGCACTACAGAGCCGCCCAGGCAAAACCAACCATGCCGTTTGGACAGAAGATCATGGAGGTGCTTGCAAAGGAGAAGGGCAACAGAAAATGTGTCTTGAAAGTCCTGATCGTGGAAATCGCCGTATTTTGCGGCTGCAATCCAAGCTCGATTGGCCAAATCAGAAATGCCCAAATCAGAAATGCCCATCAGGTCCAGATTTCTGGACCACGACTTTTGGACCTCCAACTCTACTACGAGGGATACTGCAAGAGGCCTCCCAAATTCCTTGCAGACCTTTAGGAAGGTGGTGGCCAGCACCCCATTCAGCAGCGGACAATTAGGGGGCAATTAGGCAGTGGTCCTTCTGGACAAGAATGGTGAATCGACCATTTTTCGGCACTTGAAGGGCTTGAACTTCAGAAGACTAGCTAGATGGATAAAACTATATCTCTCAAAGGGAAACGCAGTTGCTGGACTGCGATGGATTGTGGATTGCATGCAAGAATTGGCAGATCGTGGCAGTTTGTGGGGTGTGGGCCAGGCTGCCCACAAAAGCAACGATTCAAGCCTCAATCAAGGCCGATTGTCCAAGCACGTCTACTGCATAACCTTAGAACAATAGCTCGCACATAGCCCAAGCTTGAATACCTTGGACCCTACCCTTGTCCGCTTGCTTTATGTCCGTACGTCAAAGATCGACGATGGCTGAGATTTCAGAAATCTTGAAAATTGTGACGATGGCCTTCCACTATGGAGATCTGAACACGCTCGAGCGTGTATGGCAAGCGCCATTCCACGTAAAGGACACCACCCTTCACCGCAAAGGCAACAACGACTTGTCTTTGGTGCACCAAGGATGGGAGTGGCCCAGGAACGTTCGGATCTCCAGCGGATGCGGAATCTGCACACACACTTTTCGGACGATTTTTGGCCTATTTGGTGGGCCATCCTAAGGGGGTGGGACTAGCTTTTTTCTTGGACATTGGTAGTTAAGGGTTTTACAACCCAATCTTTCCGATTCTGATGTTCTTTTGTAAATTTAAAGTGTCCTTTGTAACGAATTTTGTCTCTCAAATAGAGGACAATTAATTTAGGACAAAGGAAGTAGATGTGTGGTCACTACTTCCCAACAATTGATGGACTGCGACTATGGCTGCAAGTTGGAGTATGGGGAATACTCTTACCTGCAGCTGCATGAGCAAACCCACTGTCCCATCATAATTGCAGCAGCTGTCCAACCTGTATTACCCGAAGTGAGGGCCTGATGCAGGGAATACGACTGTACAAGGAGCGAGGGGGTCACACTTCCAACAGCCATATTGCATTCAATCCATCCACATTGCAAAATAATGCTGGGTCTCATTATGTTGAGCACTGATGGGACAGTTTGGAGCATACGCATATTGTTACAGGTTATGATATTTATGCATTTTGCAACCTGTGACTGCAGAAGTAAAACATCACAGTGCAGCAGCTGGTAGGACACACTGCAACAGCATAGCATTTCAGTTTTTGCTCATTCGGTGGTAGGTTAGCATATAGTCATGGGTTGGTGGCTGCTGGACCTACAGGCATGACCACTTGCACTATGGAACATGGATTTATTGCATCCATGTGGATTCAGGACAGAACATGTGTTCAGAATGAGACACAGTGGCTTTGTACCACCAGTTGTGCAATCACAGCTGCAGCAGGCAGTTTAGCAAGCAAATCAGATGTGCATGATGCCTTTACAGTCACCAACTGGTAACAATGCAGATGGACATACTTTAGCACCTGCCTGGTGGATATAGGGGAAATGATGGTTGTCTGTTTCCCTGCTGTAGCCCTCGAAGAGCAGAGGAGATTGGTGGGAGCAGAACTATTCCTCTGGGGCCTAACAATGCCTTACCTTCAACTACCAAAATGGCATCAAGGGCACGGCTCCTGTCCAAGCGAGCTCAAATGATGCAGGCTGCATCAGAGTCGTGGGGCCGCCCAGGGAGTGTGCATGCTTCAAGTACAGGGCACTCTGAACCCATTGCAATGGACCGGTGGAGCGATGGGCATGGAGAGGATTCAGGCTCAGGGCAGGGATATGACAGAGGACAGACGCTCTCAGACTTCTCAAGAGGTATGTGGGATCCAAAAGAAAAGGAAGGATATGCAATGGAAAGAAGGGGCCAGACGATGACAGAGTTTGAGAGGAGGTGAGGGTGGTTGTATGTCAATGACTTTCATGTGATGAAACCATCAGTTTATAGCAGTTAGTTAACTTGCCTGAATCCCTGTGGTGAGCACCACTGGAGTTCGGTAGCTTGTCCTGTTAACTATGCAGCCACTAGTTCTGCAGCAAGCTGTCATATAGTTCATGTGCAACAAACACAGATCGAGCAAATGCACTTGGGCTTATACAAGGTTTGCACAGCATGGGTAGATTTTCACAACAACAGATCCTGTCACTGCCTTACATCCATGCTGTGTGCCCCTTCCCCCTCACCTTGTATCTGGACAAATGTGCTGGAATGGCCAGTGATGACATGTGGAGCAGAAATGACTGCAAATGTGTTTGCGCATATCATCACTGTCAACCAAGAAGAGAAAATGAAAAATAGTCCCAGAATGCTGTGGCGTTGTTCAAAGACTGCTCCAGAAGTCTTAATGCCCTGCTGAAGGCCACTTGCCTAGAGTGTGTGAAATCAACTGATCTAGACAAGAACAACCAATGAGGGAGACTGGGGTAGTTTGCATGTCTGCAGATAGGGTACGTACTGGATGACAGTCATTGAAGAATGATATTACAACACTTGTGCTGGTTATGGAAGTTGGCTGCTGTGCTATGCAGTCTATCGATTAATTGACCGATGAAGTCTTTGAGGATTTGCAAATAATGCTGATGTCATGTGTACTGCATGAACAGAGATATATTTCGACCTCCTGGCTCAACAGGCACTTTTGAACCACCCAAGGGGAGGCGCAGCTCACATGAAATGCACGGAGCCAATGTCACTTACAGGGGTATCACAAGAGACTCCTGGACACCACGGCCGGTAAGACTGCACGCTGTGTTCGCAGTGGAGTCTCCAATGCCTTGTCAACTGGAATGCATACTTGTTGCCCTGCATATTGCCTGCTGCAATTCATGTCTATTCTTGGCACCAGCTTGCCAATGTTGTGAAGCCTTTTACTGAGCGATCCTGCCTGATTTGGGAGATTTGCGGACTCTTCACCTCAGTGCTGAAGGAGCATCATCTGGCAACACTTATTTTGGCAATGTACCTTTACTGTTATGACAGTTTCTTGGACAAACATTGACGCACTGTGCTGTTGCTGCAAGGTATCCATACCTCGTCCTGAAGATTCGTCACATCACCAGCATGAATTGTTGCGATGGCGCACTGCTGTTCTGCAAACACTTAGTGAAGTGTCCAAGAAGGAATGCGATGGCAAGACATTTGATGTTCGAATGGAATTGACACCACTGAAAGATATGCTCCAAAAGATGCCTGTGCTTGGGAACTTGTCAGAGGAAAGGGCTGCTGTTGAAAGTACTGGCACTTCGATCCACCCTGAGGAACCAAAGGGGTCCAATCTGGCAGATCTGGTGAAGCGCACTGACAGACTCGTGGATATCGCAAAAGGCATGGTGAAGGATGCGAGCAAAGTGGATGAGCAACCTTTGGCAGCCCAAGACAAAGATGGTGGCATCCAGACTGTGGAAGTGCAAGAGGTGAAGAATATGAGGGAGCAGTTGCTGACTATGCTTGAGATTCTTGAGGATATGAGGGATCTCTTGAAATGCAAAACTGGGAATCAGCAGCTGCCTGCGGAGAAATCAGAGAAGACACCTGAGCATGTGCCTGCTAGTGAGAGTGAAGCTGCCATTGTAAAAGATGCTCAAGCAGAGAAGAAAGACCTCAAACAGGAAGAGAAACAGGTCCAGCCAATGGAGTCTGCTTCAGACAAGGAGGGGCATCGTGTTGAACGGAATGCCCAGCAAGAGCCTATTACAGGCACTCCTGAGAGTGAAGCAGCCCAGGCAGTCGAAGCATCAGAGGAAGTAGCAACAGAATCTGGACATACCCGCAGAAGATCCCTGGACTTGAGTAAGCGATGCCCAAACTTGTTTGCACAAGGATTGCCACATTTAGAGTGTGTTAGTTCCCTGGATACAACTGTTCACCGCTATTGCTGGCTTACAGAGGTTGCCTTCGAATGGGCCCATTGTGCATGCACACTGCATGTGCTGTGCAGCTGCTGGATGATAGCTTCGTGCCAGTTACTCCTATTCCGACAACTACCGATGTCGGACCTCGTAGTTGGACATGCAATTCTTCGTGTTAGGACTTTTGTTCATTCCTAACACCAAATCCTTTCTCGAAATGGCAGATTCTTCATTGCCCCTGTGTGCAGATGTAGGTTATGCGGCGCCATCCGGCGCCATCCAGGTAGCTTTTCCTCTTCAACTGCTCTTGTGTGCCATGGTCCGGGTTTCAACTACCATTCCAATTGTTCTGCTGCAGCAGTTTAATGTAGAAAGTCCCTTCAGGCTAACTTTGGAGCCAACGGACACTAAAATGGGGATGGCGAGCTGAGGTCTGTATCGTTCATTGAAATACGGGAATTGGTACACTTGTTCTGTTTGCATAATGAGGCTAACAGCTTCTTCTTACAGTTCGTCCAGGTGACAAAAATGGCACGCCTGGACAGCAGTGGATCGAAACCGTGGACCCAGGTGTGTCCGTTATTTTCCAAAGGGCACCAGGAGGGGTGACGAAGATTAAGAAAATCCGGTTCTCCAAAAGGAAATTCACTGCCGATCGTGCACAGAACTGGTGGCAAGAAAACCAGCAAAGGCTGGTTCAACATTACAACCTTGTGCCTGGTGCGAGCCTTGGGGATCAGAGCCCGTTTGGAAAGGCTGGATTTGCAGGAATAGGCGATACCATAACTGATGTGCCCAATGTTGAGGATCAATCTGGACGTGCGGTGTTGCCTGAGTCTCATGCCCCTGGATCTGGTGGAGATTTCCAGGGAAGAGAGAGTACAGCTGCCCAGCCTTCTGCCGGACTTGCCAACTCCAAACCCGGTGCAGAAGATGATGACCCAGATCAGTCTGTTCAGAATCCGGTGTATGCTCCAGACTCCAATACCCTTCCCTCTGGACCTGACAATTTGACTTCTCCAAGTTTAGGACCATCAATGGAGAGTTAATTGCGTCATGGTTATGAAAAGTTACGCCGTTTGTCAGCTGGCCGTATGCAAGCTGGCAGTGTGTGATTGTTACAGAATTGCCTCTGCACATCAGCAGACGGTTTCATCTCTGGGAGCGCACCGCAGTTCGTGGCCATCTGTGGGGTTTGGCATCGAAATCCATACAGACCTATCTGACAGATGGGAAGCTGCCGAGTAGCCGGGTGGCTTTGCCTGCAGGCACTGCACATTCAGGGTAGTGCGCAGCTGATGTGCGCTGTCCAGTGCAGATCGGCACTGGCATTCAGGTCACGTGCTATAGGTCTGCCACTTTCTCCAAACTGCTGAGTGTTTGCATATGAGACCAGAACGGCATTGCTTGGTGCCTTCAAGCGGGCCGACACAAAGTGCATTTTGTAATGTGGCATAGAATTGCTTGGAAATGGCTCTTGCGAGGGTTTTTGCTCGTCATGCACGGATGATGTGTGTAGTGCCGCGAGATTGGCTTGTGTAATTGATACTGCCTAGACAGAGTGGTACACTATGGTTGCTTATGTGTTGCTGCGTGGCTCTTATCATGAGATCATGGGAATCATTCACAGGTAGTGATCGAACAGCATCCGATAGCTGTTGTACTCCTTGACATCGAGTGCAACTCGCTAGTATGGTGACAGTGAAGTGCGCTGACAGTGTTCTTTGACCCGACAGAAATTCATTGACAGCGCAGTGCTAGATTGGGAGGCGTACGAAAGAAGAATGACTTGTTGTCACAATGATATCCCCCTAGGGCTTCCGTTCGCCACAAAGCATTTTCGTACCGCCTTCCCATTGTCAGGGACACATACTACTAGCCTGCCATGTGGCAACTAGCCTTGCCGGCGATACACAATAACCGGCTGTTTCAGCGCTGTTTTCTTGGCAAATCTGAACAAACATTTTTGAGAATGCCACTACAGCACAGAACGGATGCCTATCATTTACGTGTTCGTTGATGCCACTGGTACTGTGCCACAAACTGGCTACGTCGAGTACCAATGACACCCTATAAACAGAGTCCAGAGTAGCACTCGGTGAGGCGTTATCTGTCATCAACATATGAGTGAAAGAACAAGAAGTATAGAGAAAGATTGAGGAAAGGAAGAATGAAACAAAAGAGAAAATGAGTCTGGGTTTAGGGTGATTTGTCAAGATGATCTGTTTGTTCATCTGATCCGTTCGTTTGAGCTTCCATGTCTCGCGTATTCCTTGGAACTCGGATGGCACGTTTGCTTTAACAGTTCTTTCAAAAAAACATTTGATTCCACTGCCGATGATGATAACCACACAAAATGGATTGTGGTACGCTTGATGCTGAACGAACTCAAGCTCAAAAACCCCTCCCCCACCCCACCCCGTGCCCCCACCATGTGACTTCAATCCTTATTTTGATTTCCTGGCAGTACTGTTTAGTACACAGTACTGACCGACGGCACCATGAAAGTTATTGCGCGTTTAGGCTGGGCTCGAACAATACGTCTGCCCGGCTTAGCCCCGACTCAAAATTCAGCCTTGGTCCTTGCACCACACACAGCAGCGTGGCGCCGCCTAACGCCCAGAAAAGTGGATTCCCTGCCCCATTGCGCCGCTCCGCAGCACCTTGGACCACGCCTACTCAAGCAACGCAACTACTGACTCAGCATGGATTGCCAAGGCGCATCAGCCTCAGCCATGCTGCTGCCGCTGCCGCTACAGTTACGCATGATCATCAACGTGTTGTCACGCACGAGGCTCCACAACAATCCATCTCAGCTCGCGTCCCCAACCGCCGCCATTTCCCATAGTGCATGCTCCTCTTCGGTGCCAATCAGCGACTCGAAGAACCTGTAGAATGCCTCGTCCACCTGCCATGCGCCAGAACACCCCCCATTGAGGCGGATGATGCCCTTCAGTCTCAGTGGGTCCGCCGATTTCATCTGGTGGGCTGTGACGTCGATGGGGCCTCCATTGCAGTCGAGAGTTGCGAGCTTCTGGCCGACCTCCACCATGCACGCACACACCAGCTCCAGGGCCATATTCACGCGCAGGGGCCCTTCCTCACTGACTATCCCTGCCTGGTATGCCACTCTGTGCACCATCTGCAGTCCCCAGTCGTTCAAGATCGAAGGCACTGTGATCGCCCATATGATGCTTGCTGTGGATACAGACAGCCCCTTGCCATTGAGTTGTTCCCATGGCGTCCTTGAGGTATTCAAGGGCCTTCGTCAGGACAACTGACAACTTCAGAGCGGTCCCGTTCACAGCTTCCACATCGGGATCTTGGATCCTCGACTTGTGCAAACCATCTTAAAATTGCGCAACAGCAGATGGAGCCATCGGTCCATGTGTCGATTGTCAGTTGGTCCACTGGAGTGGCAATTACAAGTTGCCAATCGCCAAAGGCCATTGTTTATCACTGTTAAGCATCCATCACCAATCGCCGAATTCTGTGCCCCTCTAGACAGCCAGCAGACTGCACACCCCACTCGCCACCCTGTCCCATGGACTTGCACCCAGTGGCAACAGTCCGCCAAACACCCTTGTCTGTCATGCGCACAATCGCAGGCGTCAAAGGGGGCATTCCTAAGGCCTCCTTCTCTCATCAAGAACGCTGTGAAGGCTGTTCTGGCCTTTTGTTGGGTTGCTTTGATTCTAGTGCAATTCCATGATCTGTTCGCATCAATGCCCTGGACACCTCTCCCTTGAGCGCCCATTGTGCGCTGAGCGTACAAGCCTCAATACGGAGTCTTCCCAAAAGTGGCAGCCCACAGCATTCCTATGCTGTACGACAGGGAAGCTTCGCTCTTTCCACACACTCAGCCAGGATTCCTGGCCTAAACTCTGTTCACAATGTTCTGCCTGTAACCAAAAGCACAGCAGTAGGCGGAGACGGTCTAATGTCCCCCAGTCGCATTATCGACGTCACTGTCATTCACAATACCATCATAATGGATATGTGCCCACCTTGTACATCATACCGCCAATTCTCATATGCTGGCTTCAGGAATCATACAATTACAAGGGTGCAAACAGTCCATGATGCCTTGATGTTCACACAGATGTGTTTACAGCAGTTTGCAATCATATTAGCTCCCCGAGCTTGGTTTCTAATTCGCACCCGCGAGCTGAGACATCAAACCATGGTGTGCACCATTCAAACCAGCAGCTCTCCCACTATCTTAATCTCCTGAACCTACAATTGGCCCATGCTTCGCCACATGCTCTCTGCACAATTTTGCAATCTCTTCCTCTTTCAGAAAGTCGTCAGTCTGTGGCGAGGAATGAAGGAGAGTTGCGAGCACAAGAATATGCAGCAGAACCACATAGCAAAACACAAACAACCGGGCATACCTGTTCCCAAAAACAAGTTCACCTACAAAATACACTGCCCTGTCCACAAAACCCAACTGCTTCCGACGGATGTCCCTTTGCTGGCCTCGGAATGCATTGAATGGATCCATCTTCGCTTCGTACTCTTTGACATACTTGTGCTCAACATCCAACCCTACCTCTAGGTCTGTGCGCTGAGAATTTTGGTTCCGGTAACCCTGCACGAATTTTAGGCGTTCGATGAGGGCAATGTTGTCTGCCCTTGCAGACTTCAGCTCTGACCTTGAAGAGGAAACTTCCGTCTGGAGCTGACTTACTTGCTCCTCCATTTCTTGAACACGGCGTCTGAACCGATCACGCTGGTTGCACAACACGCTGGTCATGGTCTGGGTACCTTCAGCACCTTCCATGCCTTCCACCTGCCAAAGATTTCAAAGAAATGAGAAGTGCCCCCAACAATGCCCCAAGGGTGACGATTTGTCCTGCACATCCTGCCAAGTTCAAACATTTTTGGCTTCCTCACAGGCAGGCAACATTTCCAGCATGTTATCACATACTGAATCAGAATGTGTAGAAGCCAGTCTGGATTCCCTAGCATTCCTTGAAATAGGAATATCCACCGGATACGATCGATGCAACAAACCACACAGCTGGCTGCTTGGATCATACTCTCAAGCCTTCCTATTGGTGCCTACTCCACAAAGGAGCAGGATGTGTCATATCTTTGTTCACTTCATCGCTGAAGCATACCTGTCCAAACCCAGGCAACGATGCTCCATCACCATGAACTGGCTTTCTGTCATCTGACACCTGGCATGACTGAGCAACAAGATCTTCCTCCAGCCTTGTTACAAGTCCCCTGTTCTCATCCAACTCCCTGTGCAAGTTCGCTATTGTTGTCTCAGCAGAGCTGAGACGCTGCTCAAGATCTGCACGGGACAGTTTTGCCTTGGTCAACTCGTGCTCAAGGTGGCGGCTCTTCTGCAGCAAAATGCGCTCCAGTGATCCGGCACCAAGTTTACTTGTGCTATTTGCAGCACCATCCTCCCCATCTGCTGTATCCACCTCAGAGCTATACTGAACAGCTTGCAGCAACTGAATCTGCCTGGTGAGATCATCGACCTGGGCAGACAGTCACTGTGTTCGATATTTAACTGGTGGCAACATTTTTCCAATGGTTAACTGACAAGTCAGCAGCAACTTTATCACCAGGGCTACAATGGAGACAGCAAACACCATGTACCAAGTCTGCTCAGCAGAGTCGAAGCCTGCTCACCTGTTGAGCTGTCAGTCTTGTTGCCAACTCTGATTCCAATGATCTTGCATACTGATCTTTAGCATCCAATGCATCCTTCAGGCCTTTCAACCTTCCAGCTGTGCTTTGTTTGTAATCCTCTATCTGCTTTTCAGAAGCATCCAGTTCTGCCTTCATTTGGCTCAATTGCTGCCTCTGCTGGTTCAACTCCAACTGCAGTTGCTCATCCAAAGTAGGAACCCTTTCTGTGACTGAGCCAGGACCCTCCTCCCCGCCAGCAAGTCTTTCTTTGCCTGATTTCACCCCGTCTAGCTCGCTCACCAGGTGCTGCATTTCGGACTCGAGAGCAAGCGCCCTCGTTTGCATACGTTCCATCTCAGCTGCGGCTATGTCCAGCTCAGCCCTGTACCCTGCCCGCTCTTCTTCTGTCTGAGACTGGATAGAAAAAACTTGATTCTGTGAAGCCAGGTGTAGTTTACGCATAGCCTCGAGATTAGCTTGCGATTCTTCGAGCTGAATGGCAAGCCTCGCTTCGCGGTCTCGCATTTCCGCCTCGGCCCCCGCGTTGGCATCTCGACGGGCGGCCTCCAACTCTTTGATCTTGTCGCCTAGCTGCGACTCCAGGGATCGGATCTTGTCCTCGAGCCTCCGAATGGTGAGCTCCTGATTCTTCAGTTCCTTCGACTCCGCCTGGTACTCGCCAAGCTCATGGGCTGTCTGTCGAACTTCAGCCTCCAGTTGCAATATCCTCGATGCACTTTCCAAAGCAGTTGAAACAGCTGGTGTGGGATCCGGCGCCTCGTACATCTTCTGGTACAAATCCAAGAAGGCCGTCTCGCCATGTTTCGCCCTTTTGGTCAATTTGTCGACTTCTTGTTGGTATTGCTTCAGCAAGTCCCCAACACCGCGCACCACTGCGTCGTCTGCTTTCCGTCTAAACTCTCGCGTCACCTCAGCCAGCCTCCGTCGATTCTGCATCGACTCCTCTTGATATTCCGCAATCTTTAGGCCGAGCTCGTCGAGCTTGGGGCGGAGACTCTCCAGGCCGAACTCCCGCCAGAAATTGTACACCATCTGCAGGGGAGTATTCGTCTCCCGCGACCCTGTGTCTACTCCCACAGACTCCATTACGGACTGATCGCAGCCTCACACCCCCTTGGACTATGATCGCGTGTCACGTGCTGGCAAGAGAGGACAACGCAACGATTTTGTCGACTATCGCCTCGCCACCACTTCTTTCAGATGTTTGCGAAAGCATGCCCTGAGTGCACGGAACTCTTGTTCGCAAGAGCCCTTCTCAATTTCCCCGAGCAGCCTCTTGACGCAGTTACCGTACGCCTCCGCCTGCACAGAGCACTGCGCAAGGCCTGCGCCCAGAGCCTTGATGTGGCTGGCCTTCTTGTTCCCAGGCATTCCCAGAGGAGTGCGCTGTGTGCTCCGCACGCGACGATGCCGTATTTTTGCTTGGTTCGTGTCCCGAATGCACCCACGCATTCCTGCACGACTCAATACTGAGTCGACACCAAACAAAATTAAGCACCTCATTATGTTAATGGAATGGAACGCAACGGTGTCAAAGTTCCTTAGCCATCCCGGTTCGAGGTCCCGCTCGTC